TCCTCATTGACTTGGTTGCTCAGAGACTGCACAGCAGTAGAGGCAATAATCACTGACAGCAGGAGAGGGCCACCTGGGAAGGACCACTGATCTAAATCAAGTTTAATCAGACCTTTGGGTATTTTAGGAGAAAGACTTGTGAGTGTTCAAAGGAAAAATAAAGAGGCTTGGGAGTGTCATTCATATTCCACCATGTTCATAACCACTGTTGGTCATCACTCGTATAAAATCCACCTTTGCTTCTTCAAACCTCTACTATTCATGTCAGAGTAGAAATTATTATTCTTACTACCATAATCATGAAGGAACTACATCAGAGAAAGAAACCAACTCTGTTCCTGAAACTGAAATGCAACTGCAGAATGGTTGAGCCATGACACCCTGGCAGGCCAGCCAACACGCAAGGAGCCAGGAGACACATGGAGATGTACCAGAGAGGCAATTTATTAACTCTATAGCTTTTGAATAGTGGCAGTAGATAATATTGGTCTGTAAAAGTTTACAACTGAGAAAGTTAAACTCTTAGCTATTAAACAAAAGTGTTGATTAAGTCCTGAAGGCTAAATAATTAATGTAAGATTTCTGGTAATTCTCTATCACACTAAAAACATCTCTAAAAATATCTATCTCTGTGATTCTATCTATTCATCTACCTATCTATATTTTTATTCCAGAACACCACAATGATAAAAACATGGTAATTGTATTCACACTAAGCAACCTGAAATTTATTTAGTAATTTGAAGGCCTACTTAACTACTTTTTTAATTGTTGGCAGATGATTCAATGAGATGGGAAATCACACTTCATTGTGCAAAAATAAACTTTCTCAGAAAATACTCCCAAAGCTGAAGTATAAATGCTTTTGAAGAATTAAATACATTTTGAGTGTCATTTTGAAATAGAAAAGAGAAAAGAGAGAGCAAAAAAAGGTACAAATTATTCCAATCTATGTATGTGAAAAACAATAATCTACCAGCCATTTTACTCCAGTAATTGTTCAAAGATCATAAAATAAAATTGGTACCTTAACAAAGATGAAAATGTTGTATTTCAATTGTCATATCACTTATGATTAGCATTTTGTTTTCTTCTGTCAGTCTGGATATGAGTTTAAGGGAGCTACAAACTGGATGACTATGCACAGTGTGTCACAGATTACATGATTTTTCATCAGGAAATATTCATCTTTAGCCTTGTATTCAGATATTTAAGTACTTAAAACACAGGATTGGGCTCCAGAATTTGACAGAGCACCACATCCTCTAAGACCAAGGGAAGTTAAAATGCTCATCTGAGGGCAGACCTGTCAGTCTTTACAATCCCACACTTTAAGCACTATTAAGCTCTTTTATCTTTTTATCTTTCAAAACCCGAAATGCAGGGAAGGAAGAAAATAGGAAAAAATGCACTGTAAAAGAGAAACAAACTCCTCATAGAATAATCTTTAGAAGATTACAAAGCTAAGACATAAGCGATCTACGAAGAAACTAATAGGGAAATTATATTTAAAAAACACTGTGTCCAACTTTCACATTTATTCCTGATAGAAGACAGTCCCTGATACAGCATTGCCTCCAGCCCATTCACATTCCCTTGGCTGGTATGAATACAAAATACTAAAACAATATGTAGAAGACTCTTGAGAGTTTAAAAATCAGAGCATTGCAGAAGAAATTCCCAAGAGTCCTCTGCTGCTACATTCTAACCAAAGAAATTCAGGTTGATTAGGCAGAGTGAAGGGAAGGTCTATGTGGCACAAAACCTATTTCACCAGAAGAAGGCGTGTCCACATGTGCGGCTCCAGGTGGAACCGTTCAAGCTGATGGGAGAGCCAGCAATCAGACTGCCGTGTTTGCAGCTGAAAGCAGAACAAACCAGGTTGGGCAGAAGAGAATTCAAATGCAGCTGCTCTGTTTCTTCTGCAGCATGACTTTGGGGAGAGCCAATCTCAACATCCCCTCCCAGAGCCAGCCACACTGCCGGGAATCTCTCCCAGTGAGCTCAGAAAACATGAGTGAAAGTGGGCTGCAATTGCTCTCTAGAAATGTACTCTGAAGAGCAAAGATGCGAAGAAAGAGCCTCACTGTTTAGGGTCAGCACTGGCACATAAAGGAGAACAAACTGTCTGAGTTTAGGACAGGAACAATGCTTTTAACAGCCTGAGCGAGGCTCTGTCCAGCCTTCAAGAGGTGCAGTAAGAGTGATACCCCAGCTAAATTTAAACTGGAGCTTGCTGAATCTGAACAAAATAAGAAGACCAGATTAACATCACAGTAAACAGACTTGATGACTCCATAGGCCACTCCAGTCCTCTCTCTCTAGAAAAATGCGAGAAGATATGCTTCTGTTGCCAGTTCAGGCCACTACAGGAGCTAAAAACATGTATTCATGAGTCAGCACACTGTGCACTATACAGTTTTCAACTTCTGTTCACCTGTTCATTTTTATTTGCAACTAAGTACTGCTAAGAGTAGCTAGTTATGGAGGAAGAAAAGAAAAATTATTTTCATAGCTTTAAAACCCTTTATAAAGGTATCCTAAATTCCCATGCTTTCTTGAATATCAAAACAGATGTAAAGAAAAACAGATGTTATTTAAGACTGGACAGTCATCACTTTCAGAAATAAGGGCAGTACAAGTATATCTCATACTAAAAATAAGACGTAATTATATCATCACTTGTAGAAACTAAGTTGCAGTTTGTAGGCAAAATTTTAATTTATCTCAAAAGGACATTTGTCTTTGACACTAACTATGGCTTTCTAAAACATGCCTTCAACATCATTAGTCATAGCATAACTATGGAAGCATCAAGCCAGAACCAATTGCACCAATCCAAAACATACTGTGCCAACATACTGCAGGAGATAGAAGTATCTTCTTTCAAAATTAGTTCATTTATGCCTACTTTAAAATCCCTAGGTTGTTTGATATATAAGAACTTGTACAATCTCAGACTGCTGCAAATGAAATGTATGTATGTTAATTACCATGCTACTCAGACAACAGGTGCTTTGTGGATGAAATCTGGGTGCTAAAAATAGTGCATTCCTAAAACTTTCTTTCTCAGACTTCAAGATAAGACTAGGTGAGCAGGATTAGATCTTCAGTCAGCAACTATCTCTACAAAATTACACAACACACCTGCAATATTAAAAGAAAGGACAAAAGGAACATCATTCTGGAAACTGCTAGCCTAGTTACTTTATTTCAGTGGTCTAGCAGTATCAAAAATATTTTGCTAACCAGGAGTTCCACATAATTTAAAGAACAACCTTAATTTAAAAATAAGGAGGGATGAAAATAAAAAGAGGGGTGGAGATATAAGTTTCAATCACTCTTGGTTTTAATGGCTTGCTTTCAAATTAAATCATAAAAAAATAAGCAGGTTGAGTCTTCTTAAAATATGGAGTACTGACCCAACAGTTCATAACTATTTTGGAAAAGTCATCATAATCTATCATGCTAATATCTCAACTGGTTTGTAGACACATGAATTACTGACCCTGTTATATTGCCAAAAGTATTTCATCATGTCAGAGCAGAAGTCATGCATAAATATGTGCTAAATATTTGCATTACATTTAAAATGGAAAAAGCCACTGTAAATACATAATAGTTACGTTTCTACAAAGATAAGTGAATGTATTTATTTTTCAACACTACTAATTGCATGATATATACACTTCTTATATACACTTTCTACTTTAAAGGAAGCTGTTAAGTTACAAGAATGTAAACATAAGCATTAGAAGCTTCAAACTTCTGAATGCATTTGTAATTCTATGAATTATATTTGCTTATACAACAGCGACAAAAGAAATATATCCCCTGTAACTTACTTTAGTTTCCACATCTGAATACACAGTATATCTTTACAGTCAGTTACAGATCCCTAAAAGCTGTTTCTATAAGATACATTAAGCAATCCCATCACAATAAAGTAAGCAACAGAGAACACCGCCGAACATTCTGTACTTCAACTTCAGCAAAATATTGCACCATATTTCTTTCTGGGGAGAAAAAAAAAACCACCAAAAACCCAAAGAACAAAAACCACCCTGTCATCTGGAAAAACCTTTCCAAATTGTACTTTAGAGAACCAATATCCTGTTTGTACATCGGGGTGGTCCCGGTTAACCATTTAGGTGCTCTCAAACAAAAGTAACAGTTTCTCCTCCAATCCTGAACTCTCAGTACCATCACAGAAAGTAACAGTTTCCGACTCCCTGGCAGCCGGTGGCATTATTAATCAGCAAAATAAAAGGAAACACCTTCAAGCAATTACCAACTTCTGACTAATCTTCATCCCAATGAATTAAATTTATAAGAGGCAACCTGCTGCCTTGTTTACACTTTTTTAATATGAGGAGCAGAAGTTGGATATAAGGGTTTTGCTGCCCTTAGGGCAACAAAATATGCCTCATGTGGCAGTGAGCCAACTCTCCGAGGGAGCCTCCTCTGCTGTTTCACAGCTATTTTCTAATGGATAATTTTTAAACAGACACACACAAACACACAAGTCACCACAATACAGGGCCAGGGCTTTTGTTTTTGTCTATAGTCCTGTAAGTTTGCACTCATAATGAGGATCTCCAGGTTCCATCCATGTTCGGTTTGGGCTTTACTTTTGGTTGTTTTGCTTTTGGGGTTTTTTTGTTTGTTTGGGGTTTTTTTTGTTGTTGTTTGTTGTTTTTTTTTTTTAAATGGTAAGGAGGAGAGAGGCGATGTCTGGATTTTTTTGCCCCAGCTGCTTTCCCATCTATACAGCACAGCACAGCACATAAAACACCTCTCTTCAGTCTAACCGACCTAGGCTCAATTAGTGCAACATTTTGCACACATGCAAGCAATCACAAGGCACAGATATTTAGTCCAGTCCTCATGTGTATTGCACTAATACCTTTGGAAAGGGGTGGAAGGAGATTTCTTTAAAAAAAAAAAATCTCACAATGTAATTTACACAGCGTGGAAACGCCTACAAGGAGATGAAGTACCTGCACTGGGGAGATGTTCAGTTGTTCACTTCATCTTCCGTTGACAAGGAAACCAAACCGCACTTCATTCTCCAGGAAAACCTTCCACTGCCATCATTTGAAAATGTATTTATTTGTATATATGTATATATCTATCATTATCATCATCATCATGATAACAACAACCATCTTAAAACACTGCTGGCAAAAGAATAAAAAAGTCAAGGTGCAAAATGTGCAAAAGTAACGATCATCTCTTTGGCTTTCTGTTTTGCTTTGTTGTCTTTAAGGAGGAAAAAAAGTATTAAAAATTGATAACTGCAACACGCTGCAAGAAAAGTTTCACATTATAAATAGGTATCAAAAACTGAAGAAGAGGAAAAACAAAAAACCCTGCTGATTGCACTGTCAAAAAGGAAAAAATAAAAAAAGAAACAGTAACAAAAATAATAACATTATTATCTTGCTCTGTGGCTTCCACCAGTATTGCAAGATTACAAACTCTGTGTAAACACTGCTGCAAAATGCATTTGCAACTCCCATCTCTTTATGGAAAAAAAAAACCTTAAAAAACACCCAAAAATAAAAATAAAACAACACCAGAGAAAATCTTCTGCAAAAAGAGTTAGAAACATGCCTTTTCTCTTATCTTTAAAAAATAAGCATCATATTTCACATTGTTTTTCCGTGCCACAACAAAACCAGTTGCATATATAGATATATAGCTACTAAATGTATATCAGTTGTTGCTGGACTGGCAAGTCTGTATAATTAATATTATAATTTTTCATTCCCAGTGACTCCCGGCCCCAGCAGCACCTTTTGCTCACAGTTTAGTAACCATCGCATGCTAGGAAAAAAACTTGTCATCAGCAAAAGATCAAATCCATTTAAACAATAATCAAAGAGGAAGAAAAAAAAAAAGAAGAAAAAAAAAGAAAACAAAAAAAACCCCAAAAAAACAAAAGGAAGAAAAAAAAAAACAGGACAAAAAAAGGAGGACAAGAATGTCAGCGGAAAGGTACTCACCGAGCGGGAGTAAAAGGGAGGAATAAAAATGAGAGTTACTATAAAATACAGTATGGCGGTGGAAGAAGGAATGAGGCGCTTTTTTTTTCTCTCCTCTCTAGTCTCTGCCTCCGGCAACCGCCACGTGATCCGGAGCCGGGCGGACTCGCAGCCGGGAGGGCGCAGCGGCGGCGGCGGCGCCGGGCGCGGACCCAGCCCGAGCCCAGCCCGCTCCGCTCCGCGCCCGCCGCAGCCGCCCGGCTTCGCCACCGCCCAGCGCTCGGCACCGGCACCGCACCCGCACCGCGGCGGCCCCGCCGGCCCCGGCAGGTGCCGCTCGCCCCCGCACTCACTCCCGCACCACTCACTCACTCTCTCCCTCCCTCCCTCACTCCCGCCGAGCGCGGGCGCGTAGCGGCCTCGCGGGCGGGGTGCGGAGGCGGGCGCGTCCTGCGCGGCAGCGCAACTTGCTCGGCGGCGCTGCGCGAAGTTGTCGCCTGGCGCCGCCCGCCCGCCTGTTGCCCTCCGGCCGCGGTGCCGCCGCCGCCGCTGCCCCGCTGCGGTGCCACTCGGCCCCGGGAGCGGAGCGGAGCGGAGGGGCGCCGGGGTTCGCCCGGGTGAGCGGTGCGATGCACCCGGCGGCGGACCCCGAGCAGCGCCGGGCTCCGGGGCGTGTGCGCTCGGGGTACCGCTCCTGCCGACCCGGCGGGGATGGAGGCACTGTGCGGGGGGTACCGAGTGTGTGCCCGCACGCAGGGGGGTCGCGGAGTACCCCGGCAGGCAGACAAGGCATGGAGGGACATCCCCTCCTGTCACGCCAGCTCCGGGGCATCGCTGCTGCCGGTGCAGCGCGGTGGGGAAAGCGGGGGGTTCCCCTGTGCCACTCCTGCTCTGGTGTGTGCGCAGGTCGGGGTGTTTCCGTGCCGAGTGCGGGGGCTGCAGTTACTGTGCACCCAGTCATGTCTGAGTAGCGGGGGAGAGAAGGACAGGTGCCACCGGTCCCATCGTCACCGCTTTTGTTTTCCAGCCTGTGTCCTGCTGCACAGCCTCTCCCTCCTCCCGTCCTTCCAGCGGTAGGTCTGATGCTTCCCACCCCAAAGTTGCTGGCCGAAATGGGAAATAAACAAGTGTTTTCGGAGGGGGACACTCGCTGGGAGGTGCGCTCCCGAGAGCAGCCCGCAGGCGCGAGCAGTGTGCTGCAGGGCAGTGGGTTCCCGGCACGGTGACCCCGGCTGGGCAGCCTCCCACGGCACCACAGCCCGCAGCGGTGGACGTGTTTGGGTCGAGCCCTAGCACACAAAAACGCGGCCCCGTGGCTGGCCGGATGGCAGCTCTCTCCCTTTTCTTTTAACATGTGAGCAATACATTGGAGCAGGCTGTGTGCTACTGTTGCTGAGAGTTCCCTCAAGACTCTTGCTTTTTTCCCTTTTTAGCTCTCCTCGCTTGTCTCCTTATTAACAAACACAGCAGTCACAGGGAGCGGCGGCTGGGGCTGAGAGCAGCTTTGCTCCGGCTTCAGCTGAAGCAAAACCTGCTCAGCCACTGCCAGGCCCCAACCCATCGCCTCAGCTGTGTCCTCACTTCACTGGCCCCCAAAATGTTCACAGCTAACAATCACCCACAAACTTACTTCTTTACTGCTTCAGCATTAGAAGGAAGAGCCACAAGAGACATCTGCATGAGGTAAATTAACAGAGGAATAGAAGTGTGCATCCATAAACCAGGCATTGTGATGGAGGGAACAGTCCAGGCAATACTTCCCTGCTCCGTGCTCCCCTGCTCTTTTTCACTCACTTTTTTTTTTAAAACCCCTCTCTTTTCATCCAGGTCAGGAGGCAGGAGATACAGTCAGGTTATTACTCTACAAAAATTGCTCTGACCAGTAAGAGGATGCCCTGCTATATAAAAGACTGGTGAGGGCACCAGCCTGCCTTCTTCACATCCTCAAACAAAGCTTTTTCCCTTGCCCTGACCATTTCTTTCTTTCCTATCCTGTATCTCTTCCCCAGTGTTTCCAGAAAATGAAAAGAAATGCTCCCTTTCTTCCTCGCTCTCAACTTCTTTTGTAAATATAAAAAGAACACTGGACAAAATTTAAATATATATATAAACAGTTATGTTTTCTTGCTTGCTTTTTATTTTGGCACTGGGCTTGTTCGGCATTTTGTAATGTTTGCTAAGTTTGTCTCTCAGGAGTAAAGCTGTACATCTGAGAAGGTTTAAAACAAACAAACAAACAAACAAAAGGAAGTTCTTAAAGATACAATAATTTGAAAGGAATGAAAACATTTATTGTGAAAACTAACCAGCTTAACTGTACAATGGTTTACATAGATATGTCAATAAACTCGGTCATATTGTCATGTTGGTATCACAAACTATCATGTCTTGAGATTTCGGGTGTGTGAGGTGTATTTCCTTAGACCGCACACTTCAGTTTTGTGTAGCTCTAGACACTGCGTGTATAAATTCAGTAGAATGACTGAGGTGGGTTTTTAAAATTATATTTAATGTCAAAATGTATTTGCAGAATTGAGGCCTAAATAATAATCCTATTTTGCTGTTGCTTTTCAGTTTCCATTGCTGTTTATGTAATTTTGAGCACATAAGTCTTCCTGAAATAACAACAAAAAAAGTTAAAGGATGGTGTTTTAATAATCCCAAGTTATACAATAGATCTGACTTGTAAACTTGGATTATGTTGACACATATATAAGAAAAAGAATATGTACATTTTGGACAATATATTTTATATATTATTTATTCAGTTGATTCCAAGAACTAGGAATAAAGTAAACGTGCAAATATGTATGTTCTTCTTTTCGATGTGTATGTATTGATTGCTTATTCTGTGAGTTAAAAAGTCATTGCAATAAATTTGGCAAATTTGAATATAAACACTGAAAGCTGCAGAGCTTAGAGGCGGCTTCCAGACCAGGTCTATAGACAGAGCTGAGGGGGATCCAGGCTCAGAAAATGTAACAAAATGAGTTCCTGCTATAGTTAGCATTGTAAATATTGTGAAAATGAACTGATTCCTGAGGACTTAACCTTAGCTTTACCTAAAGAATCACCAGTGTAATGTTTCTGTCACTTTTCTGCTAACAATCTATTAAGGTGAAGTAAGCATTAAAGGATAAGAGTTGCAAGAGGTTTGGCAAGAATATATGTTTGGAGTAGGTTACAAGCAAGAAAGACCTTGGAACAATGCTGTTTTCACAGAATCTCAGGAAGTGTTTATTCATCAGTGTCTACTTTCTCACCACTCCTGTGGGACGTTTCCTCCAAAAGCAGTTGAATACTCGATGCTGGACCAAAAAGAGGGAAAGTTCAGCACATGCCACATGTTATAGCTTGGTTATGCAAAGTGCTCAACAAAATGTACAGTGAAAGAGTGCAGTTCAAAATGAAGGAAAAGGAGTATCACTTAGGTAATTTCAAGGGCATAAGCGTTCATAGGCAATCCAAAGCATGCAAATAAAGTGCCTGCTGGCATTTTTTAAGCTTTTCACTTTTTCTTCTGCAGAACAGCAACTGAGCTCCATTGCAACATGGCTAAGAGTTATCCTTAAAAGTAACAAAATTCTGACCAGAAAGTGTGTGAACCAGCGCTTCTATGCTTCTGCCTTAGCTACCAACACAAAGAGATGCTTCCTAAGGTTCCCAAAAATATTGTACTACAGAGCCAGTGCTCTGTGAGTTATGCTGGGCTTGCAAGTCTTGTTAGTAATGCCATGCAATCCTAATATTTCACATCCTTTCCTGTACCTCTGCAGTACCACTCCCTTCCCCCTCCCACCCCTCCATAGGAGCAGAAATAAATACATGCTGAGATTACCTCATTGCCTATAATCTGATTTTCTTGATTGCATTAAACTTCTGTGCTCTCAGCCCAGGGCTGTTGCTTAGACAATTTTCTTCCTTTTCTATTGGTGCTTGTATTGGAGAAACACACACTTGGGTTTTTTACATCACTTTCCCTGCACTTCCACTTTCCTAAAATAAAGAAGCTTCTCTTTGCAGGTAGTAAGCAAATATTTAGAGTTCAGCATCAAGGTACTGGCTTTGCACAGATCCATCAGTATGACTCAGCAGACTGCAAGCCTGAGCTCAAGTTGCAAACAGGTGCAGTTACTGGTATCTCCTATTGTACTGGCAGAAGTCAGCTAAAACAGTACCAGATGCAAATATAGCAACAGTAATAATAGCAACAATGATAAAATAATTAGTGGTCCTTTTTTGAAGATACAGCTGCCTGATCCTGCTTTAACCATCCAGTATAGTTATAGGTTTATAAGGTTGTGAGGGATGGTTTTGTTTGCTTGTTTATGCATGTTGTTTATGTCTACCATGACAACAGAAAAGGGAAAAATTGGTTGACTGGCAATAATTGCTAAATGGAAGAATTACTTGAAGTTAGCCAAGGTATTACATTGTTAAACTGTTGAAGAAAGAAAACTGCATTTCTCAAACTTTGAAATTACTATAGAGTTGGCTATCATCATTTAAATCCATTTATGTCTTGGTTTTGATTAAATTGTTATATCTTAGACAATATCAAGTTGAATTACTCCACAGTTTTAAAATCAACTCCTGTTCATATGATATAGTATATTACTTTAGAAAGAAGTTTCATTCATCTGTTTTTCTCTGCATGTTACCCTCATTGTTCTTGCTTTTTTCTACAGATTCATTGTTAATTTTAACAAAATTAATGTTCTTCCTAATTTTAAAATTATTGCCTTTTGCTCTTTTAATTTCTTCTTTTCTGGAAAGGGTTAATTAATGAGTAGAACTTAGGCATGTTTCGTTTTGTGAGTTTTGCAATAAATAAGTCTGGGAACACAGAGATAAGGCAGCTTACGATCAAATTCACTGGTATGCACCATCTATTCATATGCATTAATTTTCTATATGACAATCTTTCAATCTTTCTATTGAAAAAGAATTAAAAACATACTTTGAGGAGTTTTTGTGGGTTTGGGTTTTTTTTGTTTGTTTTATGTGGTTTATTTGTTTGTTTTAATTGTGTTGTATCAGCCAGAATTAAATTATGGCTGTTGGCTGGCACTTGCAGTTGAAGATAATGGCACTGAAAGCTGAGAGAATGCATTTACAGGGTTAATCAGACACAACGCTGGAAAGTGTGCCTTTGCATAAACAATCAGTGACAAAAAAAAAAGAATATGTGGTACAGAAAATGAAAAAGAGA